CATGATGAGGAGTAGGGTCGTTACTCCTTCGGCCTTCTTTTGTGTATATCATTATCCTCTTGCGTTGCTGTACAAGTGTGGAGATTTGTTAATAGGGTAAAATTAGACCTAAACTGTGAGAAAAACACACATTCTCAACCATGCACAGATTTTTACCTATCGTTTCGACAAAAAAAAAAAACCATTCACAGATTTTTACAGCGCAAACACTTGATTAGCAGCTTTTTCAGAAAGCTCAGGTTCACTCACTCGATTATTGATTTGTTACTTGTTAGTATGCGGATAACTTTGCAAACTTTTCATTTGTCTAATCCTAGTTCCACCAAACTGAAATGGTTTGGTAAAATTTGGCTGATAATGGATTTCCATTTAGGTTGTGCGTGCGTTGCCGCATGATGAGGTTTGCAGTTTGCACAATAAAGTCGCGAACGAGAAACTGTTCACGCGACTTCATTTGCACTCTCTTTGAACTTGGATGCGCATTGAGTAGCGTTTCCGGCAGGGCATACTTTCCGTTCTTTACTGCCTCTCGTGGGTCTATTGTTCTAGAAGACTAGGACTCCGCCCTCCTGAAGGATGACAGCAGCCACAGGCTCTCAAAAATCCAATTCCAAGATCGAGAAATGGCACGATTACCATTCAGATTTCTTGAAGGCTAATCTCAGCGATGACCAAGAGGGATCAGAATGCTACCGCAAGAAGTGGAAGGCTGTCTCGGAGTTATTTGGTCACGCTATTGGAACTTGGAAGCTTTCAGTCTTCCTTTGTTGTCATCGTTCAAGTTTGAAAATTCGTGATGGGGAAATTAATCTTTATTTTATCAATATCTCAAAACCACCAAAACAGAAATGATTAGCATGTACTTGAATGTAAGAGCATTGTCAGACTCATTTTCCAAAAAAAAAAAAAAGAGCATTGGTAAATTTGATTATATGTTACAATAGTTATCATGCTCAACGCTGACATGATAATCTTGGGTACAATTATATGATATAGATAGAGCACATAATAATATCATTTGAAATAATTCTTGATGGTTAGAAAGATAAAAAACTGTGATTGAAAAATTGCGTTGGTAATTAAAAAGTAATATTTGAAAAAAAATGTTAGGCACTTTTGTTTTACTGGTAGGAGAAATTTAATACCACATGCGATATGCATCACCATCTTGTTTTCCCACCAGGAGCATATTAGTCAATATCCAATTCTCACGCAACATAAACACATCTCGCATCGGGATTTATAGACCCACACACGCAAAGATAAGCCCGGAAAAGAAAAAAAAGAAGATCAACATGCGGATTCTCATCAAGTATAAAGGAAGGCTAGCTAAGAGCATTCCTCACCACGAAACGCAATATCAGGTTCAAGCGTGATCAACTTAAAAAAGGCAACATCATCATGTGATGGGAAGATGAATGCCCAGAAAACTTTTCAATTGATCCAGCACTCACTCCTTAGTTGCAAATAGCACAATATGCATTTCAATTCTGGTTGCAAAGGGTCCAGATATGAATCAGTTCACTTGTAAGTTTGTATGTAACCGGCTGCATATTGCAATCATGAGGACTTTGTAGGCTGAGTAACGAAATGTCGAAGGACTTTGATCCTTCCGCAAGTGAAAAAATCTAATTACAGGCGAGTTTGAATTATAAGAATTGATCTCTTAACCTAATATCGAATAATTCTAAATGCAACTAAAAATCAATTAAGATCATAAACGAAGCACAATTAGCAGCTTAACAAAATTATATAATATTATTACTGCAGGCAGGATTTGTTTTATGCGAGAGCAACGAGTACACGTAGCTTGAAATCCAAAACAAGTATTGGAGTAATTCACAAGTTGAATTTTGAATTTTAAAATATTTTTCTATCCTCAAATCACAAGTTGAAGATTTATCGATGTTGAAGTTGAAAGCTGCAAGTGAAAAGGAAGAAAAACGCGTGTATGGATTAATGCACTCGCACACAACACAACCTCCTCCTCCTCCTCCTCCGTGTGGAGCATGGCATCGATTGGTACTGCTCTACATGAAGTCTTCGTGAAGTGAACCACACACACACTTTTCTTGTGCTCTACACTTTTGGCCTCCACACCACTGGACAATAATTAAATCAACAACAGCACAACTTATCGCAAGCCAACCAAATATTTGCAGTAATTGTCAAAGATGATAATAATTCCACCGCCATTATTGCTGCTTCCACGTTCAAATACTAACTAAAAACCATTACTCTACCTATATTGCTTCAGTGGTCAAACAGCAATCAACAGCACCGGCTTTCTCAATTTTCCCTCCCAAAATAACAACAAAAAAGAAAAAAAAAACGAAAACGAAAGCAATATTAAAAGGAGAATCTACGGGAGAGAAGATCAAAGGATAAAAATGATTAGGGCGAAGTGATTTAAGATCCTAAATCTGCAGTTAATCATGAAGATGCTAGTATTAGTTAATCAAGTACTCCCTCCCATCATCTTCTTAAACTCGTCAAAGTTAACGCAGCCGTCGCCGTCCACATCAACGGATCTGATCATCTTACGGCAATCACTGAGCGAGCACTTCTCACCGATACTTTTGAGGACCGAATGCAACTCGTTCGCCGAGATCTTCCCGTTCTTGTCCTTATCGTACAAGTCGAAGGCGTCGCGAAGTTCCTTGTTGTTAGCGGTCTGGTTCACGCCAGCGAAGTACACCTCGAACTCCTTCAAGTCGATGAAACCGTCGCCGTCGGTATCGATCTCCTCCATTATTCGTTTAACTTCGTCAGGCGACGTTTTCGAACCTAGCATGTTCAAAATGTTGCCTAAATCGGACGCCGAGATTTTGCCATCGCCATTAGTGTCGAACTTGTTGAACATCTCCTTAACTTCGTTCATCTGTTCTCTCCCCATGCTTTTTTCGTTTTCCTTGGTGGAACCGCTCAACTTTTCCGGTTCCGCCATTAACGACTTCTTCTCTCTCAAATAAAACAGCAGTAGCAGCTATAAAGCGCAAATAACAGCAGTAGTAGTAGTAGTAACAAGTAAGCCGACACTTTTTCCCTCCCAGGAACAGGTTCCCCGGGGAGCATTTATAGGGAGGGAAAAGGGGTTAACGCGCTAAAAGGACAAAGACGCGTGATTAGCTGCGCTGCGCTGCGCCATTTTGTTGTGGTTGCCTGTCGTACGACTTTCCTTTGCCACTACTGTCCCTTAAGATGAAAATAGAATTCTAATTTTCGAGCAGAATAAATTTTTTATTGACAAATCAACCAGCAAAATACGTAAATTTACTAGTTTAGGAAAGATATTTCGAAGGAAAAGGAAAACTTTGTCCTGCCTATTTTTAATTGATGCCCATAAAGTTTTTGGGCTTCGATTTTGTGGTTTTCTAAAAACCCTATTTTCTCCACCAAGTTGCGTTGATCAAAAGGGCAGTAAATTAGTAACTAGTAATGCAATGGGGAAGAAATGGATTGACTGGTACGGGAGTCAGGAAAGATAAATAAGATGTTCTGAATTTAACATGTTCCACTTATGCTAAAATAAAAAAAAATAGTAACGCAATAAGTTCAAAGATATATAGAAGCAACAAGTTCCTTTGATTATGGAAGAAATTAACATGCTAAGTAAGTATATGTGCTCAAAGATTGGCTTAATTATTATATGAAACTGAGCTCCTGTAGACATTTTTTTTAAGGCTCTCCTGCATGATTTGATTTCTATCCCCAATATTTTTGCAATGACAAAAAAAGGTAAGAAAGTTGCAAGCTTGATTCAATTAGTTTAAAAACTAAATTAAGTTAATGGGGTTGTTTCTTTTTTTAATTTATAGTAACTTTAACATCTGCACACAATTACATTTATTATATTCTTACATTTACAGTCACGCTGGTTGTTTATTCAACCTTTACTATAGGAGAAACAAATGAAGAAAGGAAACGTGGAAGTAAATCACGGAGTTCTTATAGCATGTTTTTGGCTATTCTAAGGGGCAGAAGTGTAAGCAAGGCGGAAAGGCGGTGATGTTGTGGCCGTTGATGATTGCGATTGATACCTGTCGTGGCGTGAATACGGTTAATGACCTTTGGGCTTTAGAAAGCAGCATACATAAAAGAAATATATGAGCGAGTCAGGAACATGCCTTCTTGCAGAATGGACTTCACATGGATGCAAATTATTACCATTAGCATTTAATTAGCTAGAGGACATACTCCCAGCTTCGCATGATGACCAGTTTCATTTGTCAGATATAGACAGAAAGGTTCGAGAATATTTAATTCCTGTTTGGATCTTCATTATTCCATGATCCTATACCATTAATTATTTTAAATTCAATGATCAATAGCTTCGATTATGTGCCAACTACAATATTTTTGACCAGTCCAATATTATTATCTGTAATTCCTACCCAATTCCTACACGGAGCTGCGCTACTTTTGCAATAATTTAATGAGCTTATCTGATAAGATCATTTAGATTATATACAGTTTTTTAAAGTTCTATACAGAACGATTAATGGGATTGGATCAGTTCGATCCAAAAAAAAACCCGATGAATCTAACCTTTTATTGAACCGGGTTAGGTTTGAATCTAAATATTAGTTCCGAATTAAATGTAAGTCGAATTTGAGCCTTATTAGATTTAAATCCAATATAGGTCCAGCCCTTTAATTTGCATGTATATATATAATTATATCTAATAGATTCATATTTTGGTATATATGATTATATATCTAAATATATAATACTAATACTTTATACTTATGAGTTATGTATCAAAATATATTAATATATATGAGAAATATTAAATATAAAAAAATTATTGCAAAAGATTTAAAAGGACAAATCTTACTATGAGCAAATTGAGGATATTTGATCGTGTTTTTTGATTACTATTTTTCATATGCTTTCAACTAATTGGATATATCATTATTGAAAAATTCTTAACTTACGTAAAGTTACTGATTCTAAATTAGCTTTAGAACTTAATAGTCATAATAATTATATTAAAAAATTAAAAAATAATAAATAAATTTGAATTAAACCCGATTTAGATCCACAGTATTTTATAAGTTACATTTATCAATCTAAAACTCATAACCTGGAACCTAAAAGCGGTGATAACTACCGTATGAATTTGAAGATGACCCGATTCTTCCTTGACTCGAATTTAGGCTTCCGCGAGACAGCTACTCTATCTTTTCTGTCGTTTGGCAAGACTGATACCACTCTTTTTAACTTATTTGTCGATTTGCCAAAAAGAAGGGTATTTCAAGAGAATAATGATGCGGTCACTTCAGCGGGAACCACTCCTGTAACCCAAGTCATTCGCGAGGAAGAATGTAGTGGCGACTTTGGCTGTTCTTTCGACCGTTTTGTGAATAATTAAATTACATACGTAAATCTTCTTCCCTTTTCAGTATCTGAAGACGTTAAATCCTCATCCATTTCCCGCTCCACTAACGTTTGCTCGACAGGATAATATGTGCGGTGAAGTTCTCCAACATCATCGCCTCGCCAGAAAGCTTCTTCCATTCATTAGGTCCTACACGATAAACCAACGAGAGCAGAAACCCTGTTCTCAAACCAGACCAACTAACAAGCAGAAAAATGGAGCGAAGATACAAACATACCACCGACACCATCACCACCGGCGCCATCTCTGAATGTGGCATGGTAAACGGCGGGTCTGGCCAGCCCAGCTGCTGCTTCAAGAGACATATCAAACCGGTACCTGAAATGTGATCACAGAGAAGCATGCATGAGAATGCAAAGAGGGTACAACAAATTAACAGCAGAGATTGAAGCATTCATCCAAACAGGCACAAAATTCCTTGGAACAAAACACAATAAGACAGTACTGCTCTTTTCACATTGCAATCACTAATGAATGGTCAGCTAATCCAACAATGCTAGAGGAATTAGGATGATTGGAGCAGAACAGACCCACCATCCAAAACACCGTAAGCACATGGTGATCCCGATCCAACTGAAAATATAGTTCCTATTAGCCATCCACCTTCACTGTCCACACAGTATAGGCCTGGACCTTGCAAGGAACGACCAATTACTTACAATAAGACGTAGAATTCAGGATAAAACTATGCAAAGAGTCCTTATGACAGTGCCTTTGTGTACCGTCCAGCGATCATTGTTCCAACAGACGATCCCTTGCCATGGCAGGAATACAACTGGCTAGCAACTTCAATGCCCCGGCGACAGATATCGTTCTCCTATTTGCAGGCTCATGCAGACAGGCACTGAAATTTGCAAGTCTAGTCAATGATCTTCCAACGGCTAGATTGTCCATGACAATACAAGAACGAAAGTCAAACTAGTACAAACCGGGGAGCACCTTAATTCCCAGGTTCCTGTGCCAGAACTGGCAGTCAGCATCACCTCCAGCCATAGTGTCAACCATGTATGGATTGATTTCAATGATTTTCCCGACAGATTGTGATGGTCTAAACCAGTATGTCACTGAGATGTATTTCGTGATTCAGTAACCATAAGAGACAGGATAATTAAAATACAACATTAAGAATCATGTCATCGAACGTCTTTGATTTCGGTAAAGTAATCTGATTCTTATCTCAGCCTCTCTTTTGTGGTATAGGCAAGTGGATATGCCAATTAACAAGTTGTAGAAATAAAATGAGCAACTACACAGCTACGGTATGAGTTGACTTAAGAAAAACAACGCGAAGACCAATGCAAGCTGTTCGACAGAAATTGATGCTACGTAACTATCGTCTGATTTTATCAGGGTAAACAAGGCAGAAACAGCACGAGTCACGTTAGGCAGAAATTGACGGCAAGAGCTACTTCAAATAGATATATGGTAAACATGCATGTGACCGGATGATAAGAGACCTTCAAGTTGGAGTTTATAACCATGCTAATATGGTCTCAGGACACAAGTTTGGCCCCAAAACATACATACTTCATATTTCCCCGTTTCTTCCTTCGCACCCCATCCCCAACCATTTCTGGGGTGGGATCTCTTTTTCCTTTAGTTAAGCCGCCAACAACAGCCGAAGGAGCCAAATTTCTAGAACATTGAATGTTTACAGAACACTAAGGGTATGTAGTAATTCTATAAGTAACTACTACAAACATTGGGTCAGCCGAGATACTACATGGAGAAACACAGTAAGCATAAAACTCAAGACTACTAACGTATGAAAGTTCACAAAATTCTGGTTTTAAAACAAAAATCAACTGGATGTCATCTCAAACAAGTAGCAATATTAAGTCGCATCTGCATTGAAGACGTACAGTTGCACATTGGCATCAGGTAGACTAATCAATAACTTGTAACGTTAATTCAACGCAACAAATTCATTTACTGCATCTGCATTGATGCCGCTGGCCAACCACCCCTAACCAACACCGGCGGGGGGAGAAAAATTAGAAAAAAAAAATGATCAATGACTGGTGCGTGGCAACTACTGGCTTGGCTCAATGGCCATTAGGGAGGGACTCAAGTCCCTTCTTGGAATGTGGGTGGCGGTTCAAATTCCACCTGCAGCAAAAAAAAATTCAAGGGTGATGCTATAACATCCTCTTGATCTAATCAGATCTACATATCTACTAGTTCCTAACACACATGCCTCCTTAAACTCCTCCTCCTCTGTAAATTAGGATAAAATAGGTTATACAATTATAATTGTTATCATTGCCCGAAAAAAAAAAAAAAAAGACTGGTGCGTGGCTATTTGGAAGCATTATTCAACAATTGCTTAATTCCCATTCATACAGTACAGACATAACGGAACAGAGAAAAAAACATAAACCTTTCTCTAATATTTGAAAAGGTAACATTTAATGTGCACAAATCAATCATAATTACGATCATAACTCAGCATGGAAATACTAGTACAAGCATACATAGACAGATATCTACCCATGCTAGCACCTGAACATGAAAGCCAGAGTGGTAGTTCCCTTTGCAGGCTTTACCAGTTGTATTGTTTCCTTTTGAAACCCATTAAATTCCAATGCATTTAACAAGAAAATCTCTAACTTTCAATGAAAATAAAGAGGTAGTAATTCGTCAAACATGAAGTAGAATAAAAGTTCAAACTCACATCGTCAGAGCTAGGAATTTAGGAATTCTGGAGCGGTAGAAAGCCCAGGGAGAAATCCACCAGTATTACCCCGCAACGTAGCAATCTTCATTGTCTTATTGTTACCTTTGACAGGATAAATCGATCAACATAATCTTAAGGCCAATTTTTTCTTCTTTTTTTTTTTTAAGTGCCTTAGCTTGTATATATATATATTAAATATCCAACTGCTTTGGTTATACGTGAAGGAGCTGGAGAAGATTGGTTCCACGCTATGGACCTGCGGGACGACGATTGGAAGATGACCGGTACCGGAGAAGAAACGGGAGCTGGAGGTTGGGCTTATCAGAAGTTTAGAACCAGGCTTGTATTAGAGGCGTGATAGAATAGACAGTAAAGAGGTGACCTTCAGGCTTCGGCCTATCACCAATGGTGGACCAAACCTGAAGAATTGGACTTGGGCTAACTCTAAGTCTCCTTTGTAAAGATCTCAATCTGGGATCCTACTTTCAGTGTGACCCGCTAGAAGAAATGTCGGTGATGGTTGTTTTTTTTTTTTTTAGGATACATTCGTAGTACAGTTTATGATTAATTCTGTTTGAATTGAGTCGAACCCTTACAGGGAGGTTTTCTCAACATTGTCCTTTGATGCTGGTTACATATCAAGCTAATTTGGTCTGAAATAGGGGTGAGGGCTTAAATAGGAATCTCACGTTGTAATTAATTAAATTGGATATAGGGACAACATCATGTTATAATTTGAAAATATGTGATATTTTAGCTATTAATCAAATTTTAACTACGCCATAAACTTTTTTATATTAACAAAAGAAACAATTTGCTATTGTGAGCTTATTCTCATTTACTATAGATTTTGCAAAAAAATGCTTATAAGAAGCTATTAGAGTAAGGTGATCAGCTAAAGTTACTTTACGGTAGTTTTAGACATTAACAATTTTTTACTACTAAAAAAATCTAAAATTTAGACATAAAACCCAAAATAAGGACTTTCAAATAAAGAAATAGTTTGTTTAAAAAAAATGTTTCATGCTTCACACGATCTACGGCTTAGAGTACATTAAGTTTGCCTTTGACGTATTTGACTTTATACAATTTTTTTTTTTATCTATTATCACCGTCTACCCCCGCTTTCGCTCCTATTCCTAATTTTATTTTAACCTATATAGTTCATTGTCTTACGTTGGTTATTGGGCCCGAGGGAGGAGGAGGGGATGGGTGGTGGGGACCGCCGGGCAGATGGAGGCATTACAGGGCGCAGAAGGACTTAGAGCTGACTGGTTGTCCATTGGAAAAGGCCCCACCATAGCAGCCACTTGGCAATCGGACAGACAACCAAAACCTGTTGCCACTTTCTATGTTAACGGTTAAATTGAATAACAGCTAGTAGACCGTCGTATTAGTCCTAACTCCTTCCAACTTATCATCGTTTCGAACAAAAAAAAAAAAAGTATTGGTACTAACTCCTAACTCCTAAGCGATCTTCGCTTTCTCCGATCTTCCCTCCCTCATTATTCACTCCTCTGTCACTCTTCTTATGTTCAGAAAACTAGCTCCAAATTGCACCTACTCAATCCGACAGCTCCAAGATTCAAAACAATCATCCTATTAGCTAGTATTTAATTTACAACAATTTCACATCGATTAATCCAAAGCCTAAACCACCATATTCCCTCAGGGGCCATCAATTTTAACGCTTACAGTAATTTAATTTGTTGCAGCTCAGCTCAAGTTCTTGAGATCAACTCAAAATTTTGCCTTGCGCCCTCTTTTCTTTTCTCCGTTATTTGAATATATGGCTCTTCATTCTGCTGCTTTATGCTTCAACAACATTTCTTGCAATCCTCAAACTTCTGGGGCCTTTCGGCAGCTCTCTGCTCCCTCATTTTTCCGCCCATTTACTGTTAAGGCTTCAGGTTTTTCTTCACCATCACCGGTTGCCCTTCCGCGATTTAAGCTTCAAGGTATTGCTTTGCTTTCCCCACTGGAATCGATTACTTAATTTGCTATGCAGGATCAACTCAATTAAGTGTTTTTTTTTTCCTCCTCGATTTTGCTCTCCATATTTTGCAGAACACCTTCACTAGACTTGTGCTTTGATACTATCGAGATGGAAAGCAATCAATAGGGCAAAACTAAGAAAAAGTCACATGAATTATGTGAATCGCAGTTCTAGTGTGGTGCCCTGCGTGCTGCTACACCTGATTAAATAGGGAGAGATTGATTAATCAATAATAATACCTTACGTAGCTGTTGATAACTTGGATTCAGCATTTAGCCGGTGGTTTAGGTTGGTAGTAGAAACAAGTTGTGTGATGATTAAACCTCTTCTCATTGCCTTTACAATGTCCAATTTTTAAACTAATTGGGACAATATATAGTCATTTACTAGGAACTAGAATCATCTAGTCTTTTAATTAATCAGATCAACCGTTCGAATGCCCTTCTTGGATTGAGTAGTTATTTTTAACTAACTTTGGTTAATGCTATTGAATATAGAATTAGTAGTTCTTATTTTTTGAATCCCCTAAGTTGCAACTCCATTAGGTAAAGCATTGCCAATTGATAATGGGGCACCCGAAAAGGATGAGTCGTCCCTTGTGGTTTGCTTTGGGGAATTGTTAATTGATTTTGTCCCGACTGCAAGTGGTCTCTCATTAGCTGAAGCACCTGCATTCAAAAAGGCTCCTGGTGGTGCACCTGCTAATGTTGCTGTTGGCATTGCTCGCCTTGGTGGTTCATCAGCTTTCATTGGGAAGGTGTGACATCTCTGTACTCTGTTAGCCGTTGTTGATTATCATATACCTTCAAAATTATGAACTTATAATGTTACTACTGACGTATTGAAGGAATCTTCCAAAAAATTTACATGTTCTCATGAAAAATTCTGTTTTTCTGGTCAATGTTTTAATGACCCATCCACAGGTTGGGGAAGATGAATTTGGATACATGCTTGCTGATATTTTGAAGGAGAACAATGTCAATAATGAAGGGATGCGCTTTGATCCTGGTGCTCGAACTGCTTTGGCATTTGTAACCCTAAGAAAGGATGGGGAGCGTGAATTCATGTTTTACCGCAATCCTAGTGCTGATATGCTGCTTCAAGAGACTGAGCTCGATCTTGACTTAATTAGGAAGGTATACATTACTATCTATGTAGAGATGTTGAAGCAAACTAATTATGGCCAAAAAGATGATCTCCACAATACATGATACTGGTGTATGTAGTATCTAACTTATGATTATGACCTAAGGCTTGGTGGTTTGTTGACTTTTAAAAGTAAGTAGCACCAAAAGTTTAGCTAGTCCATCATCTCTATTTTCACGCTTTTGCATCTGTTACTGTATAGTTTGTGCCATGTCATGATTGTAGAGATCCTTTCTTATTTAGGTCTTTTGCAGACTTGCAGCCCTTTTTGTTGTAGCATTTGCAGTTTCTGGAAAATAGTTACCTCCTACAGCTTTGATTTACCGATATTTATTTTGATAGGTAACTTAAATCATGACATTGCTTGTTATCTATGACAGGCAAAAATATTTCATTATGGTTCTATAAGCTTGATTACAGAACCATGCAGATCAGCGCACCTTGCAGCTGCAAAAGCTGCAAAGGATGCTGGGGCAATTTTGTCTTATGACCCAAATCTAAGGCTACCACTGTGGCCATCTGCAGAAAGTGCAAGAGAAGGGATCTTAAGCATATGGGAGACTGCTGATGTGATTAAGGTATACCTCCTTCTAATTTTATTATCTTCAAGAGTCTGTGTTATCTGTTGGTGTACATGCTGAAACAACAGTCTTTTTGCAATTTCAAAATGTCGATATCTATTTCATTTTTGGGTTGACATTGATCACCAGATAAATGAGAATGAGATTTCATTTCTGACCCAAGGGGAAGATCCATATGATGATTCTGTAGTTCGTAAATTGTATCATCCTGACCTCAAGTTACTCCTTGTCACTGAAGGCTCAGAAGGATGCAGATATTACACTAAGGTAAGCTTGTAAATTTTTCAATCCCTCCCTACTTGTTTCTGTGTTTCCAGCTGCGCATGTAGTAGGTCTGAAAAACATTCTATGCTAGTTTAAAAGAAAAATATTAGGCATTTGTGGAGTATCATTTATTATTCTCAAATTCTTAAAACCGCTAGACTCCAGGAGTTAAAGATCTTAAACTTGCTGAACTTTTTAGATTGTAGTTCAAGATTTGAACCATAAATGTCTATTTCACAGGACAATAAAATCCTTTGTGTTTTCTTTGTATGATGTTTCATAGACCATTATCCTGTGGATGCTTTTATTCTTCCTAAATGTTATCAGGGGCACTTGATGCATAGCTATTACATATTTGAGGATATGGTTTCTTCTTTGAACTACAAATTTAGAAGCTGCTAACACAAAAAGTGCATGTTAAAAAAATGTTCAGAATTTTCTGAATTTCGATGCCAATGTTGGCTTACAAGTCATGATATTGTTTATTGTTAAAGAATAGGTGTAAATCAAACACTTCTTGGTGATTGACTTCTACAGGAGTTCAATGGAAGAGTTAAAGGTTTGAAAGTGGAAGCTGTGGACACAACAGGTGCTGGAGATGCCTTTGTGGCTGGAACTTTATCACAACTAGCAACTGACATATCACTGCTTGAGGTATTATCTTTCAGGAACGGCACTTCTCCTGCTGATAGTCTTAAAATTGTTTTTCTTTACATTGTCTATGATTTTCAGTTTCCATCTTTTCTCGCTTCAACATTTTTCTTGATGACATACCTTAAATGATAATTAAATTGATGTTAAATGTCAACAGTTAAGAAGGCTTGAAAACGTCTTTTTGAAGTGAACAAAGCTGCAATTTTGAGGAAAAAAGTTACAAAATCCCAAGTCTGTTTGGTTTTAGCCTTGTCCCATACATAAGGGGATTTCATCTTTTATAGGGTGGAAATAATGGTTGAGGACCTAAATTCTTTAAGCTGTTTTTGTTGTTTCTCTCATAAATTTCAATTGAAATTAAGCATTTCTAGAGCTCGATGCTTGACCTTGATTTGACAGCAGTTCTGATTCAGATGATCTTGTATCTTTATCTCTTATATATACTTCAATTACCTTATCTCTATCTGCTTTGGAAAGCGATGATAAACTATGAAACCTTTTACAGGATGAGGCCCGACTTAGAGATGCTCTCAGGTTTGCTAATGCATGTGGTGCCTTGACTGTCACAGAGAGAGGTGCAATCCCTGCTTTGCCAAGCAGAGAAGCTGTGCTGGATGTCCTCCTTAAAGCTGTAGTGTAGCTGGTCATTTAATGTTATCTGCAACTGTTTAACCACATTCAGCAGTCTTTGTCTTTTTGTAAGGTCTCATCACCATTTGCTTTCACACACATAATTGTGAACGAGCACATTTGTTGAGTCCAGGTAGGCCAGAATTCTCAAGTATAGATGAACTCTGTTTTTTCTATCTAGTAGTTATGGAAGTGGAGGTTCAGATCAGCTCCAATTTTGTACAATATATTGCTGCCAGTTTGGCAGGTTTCGACAATAACAGGGCCTGGTGTATTAGTCTTATTACAAGTCTTGATTGGCAATAAAAGGTTCCATGTTCTTGCTGAATATTATTCTCAGTTGAACTCTTGAGTAGTGTTATATCAGTTACAACATTTGAGAATGGACTGTTATACCTTTGATCTTTTTGAGTCTTGACATTTTACTTGTACTTGGTTCTGATTGACTACACAGGGCTGTGTCATGGGAAGTGAAAAGTGGCATTAGCTTCATTAAAAGATTTCTTCAATTTTAACCAAGAACAGGAAAAGTCAACCCGTTGTTTGACCCCAGCCTGAGATGGACAAAAGATAAAGAGCTTTTATACGCTTTCAGCACAAATCTTCAGAACTTCAAAAATTGTCGAAGACGTAGCCAAGTAGGCATTAGGAGTCCAATAAAACATCTATAAATTAATAAGGTTAGGACCATACAAATTGGTACTTACAATTCAAAGAAACATTTATTTAATTAACTAAAGTTTTATTTTATTTTACAAAAATATGAATTATTCTATTAATAAAAGGAGGCAAAAAGTTTAAGAAATACAAATAATCTTTATCTACTTGATTTGCAAGTATAATTTAACTCTATTAATGTTTTCAATATAATTTAACTGACACGTAATTGATGTCATTTTTTTTGAGGTCAGGTTAAAAAAGATTTAGAAATACAAAATGATGGATGCCTATATTTATTTCATTAAATGCATACAATGAATCAAATTAACAATATTACATATATAAATGATAAAAACGTTTTCTTATAATAAGCAAACACAAAACCTTCTTACATATCTCACTATGGTTTCTGTATCGAAAGTGTTCATAAATCAACTATGACTGATCAAATGCTAAACCACATAAATCCATCAAATACTAAATCATGCTAAATTATTATGCGAGTATAGTAAAGAGCATCACATCACATACACTATAAATAATTATAATAATGGGTTTCCAAAAAAATAAATAACAATAGGCTCATATTAAGATATGATATGTAATTATAGTGAATTATTAATTTATGATATGAATGGGATCAAAGGTTAGGTAAGGCTTTCAAAAAAATTATTATCTTACTAGTTTAATAAAATTATTAATTTAGCTCATTAGCCCAAATTGGGATTGAGAAAAGTATTATTTAAATGTCTACAATTCAAGTTTATAAAGATTTTTCTGTAAATTTATCGAGTATAAATTTATAGGGATTTTTTTTTTGTAAATGCTTACAATTAATTTTTATTATTATAATTCAACAATATCATTTTTATTATTTAAATGTCTACAATTGAAGTTTATAAAGATTTTTCTGTAAATTTATCGAGTATAAATTTATAGAGATTTTCTGTAAACGTCTACAAATTAAAGTTTATTATTCTAATTCAACAATATCATTTCTGTAGATGACACATCACATACGAATTGTACTCTTCCGTGTCAAGAAGCAGCAGCAAAACCAAAAAAATTATGTTAATAACAAATTTGAGGCAGCAAATCCCGTCTCCCCGAGAGCTAAAGAAAAATTTTCGGTAAGACCGCTGAAACAGAGCGCTTTTAGTGGTGAAGCCGATTGGAAAGCTTCTTCCCAAACCGATACTAACCCGAAAGACAAGGATGGCCATATCCTTCCCGTACAATATCCACTCTATAAATGTCCGCATTCTGGTATTTTTCTAGATGCCAAACAACTTGTCATTCTAATCTAATCACCCTCGCAACCAAAATGGCTGATGATGCACAGGACCAGGCTGACCGAGAGAAAATTTTCAAGCGTTTTGATGCTAATGGTGATGGACAAATTTCTGCGGCGGAGCTGGGGGATGCCCTGAAGGCTCTGGGCTGTGTCACAGGAGACGAAGTCAAGCGTATGATGGATGAAATTGATACTGATGGCGATGGCTTCATTTCCAAAGAGGAGTTCACAAGTTTCGCGTTGGCCAATAGGGGTTTAATCAAAGATGTTGCCAAGATATTCTAGTCTCCCTTCTTCTTTTTCGTTCTGCCATCTCATGCAGATTGCAGTAAATTTTTTTCTCTTCATAGTTTTCTGACTTGGCTCAATTCGTCCATGTCATAGACTTGGTATTTACAAGTGCATTTCCCAGTAGTTAAGCTGTAACGTGAATTTTGTGTTATCTATATATGTAACTACCTGCTCAATACAAAATTCATAACTATCAGTTTTGCCAAGTTTTTCAGAGCAAGAACTAAAAGAATATGGGGCAGCTTGCGAGCTGCGATCCCAGTTGCATATATTAATTCAAACCACGTGGTTAGCAACTTGGCATAATATATTTTGTGAAATCTGTTTCTTTCCCATGTGGAAGTCTTTCTTAAATGGTAAACCAATTGCTGGGCAGTTGACCATATTTTGGCCTTTGTAACTACCATTCTAATTGTTAATTGTCTCTCCTCTCAACATACCAAAACCTGAAATTGATTGATCAACGTGCTCTGACCATGCAGCTGGAGCTTAGGCGACTATTGCGAAAATGCAGAACTTAAGAGATGGAATTTGAGCGGATTAGGCGAACAAGTTAATATCAGTAAACATTAATTCAGCCTTGTTAGGTGGTATAGAAAACCAAATGTTGTTAAGCTGTTGACATCTCTAAGTATGCCCGCGATGTTGACGGTTCAGAACAATTTATAGATCCAAGGGAAGGACACGCATTGCTGGTGTCCTACTAAGAGAATGAAAAGTAAAAGGAAATTAGGGCTGTTCTTTTTCTTTTTTTATGCCAAAGAAAGTTTGAGTAGATTCGACTCCTATCATCCCTATCGTCAAAGCATGTCCCGGAAATTAGGGCATTTCTTTTTCAAGGGATAATTTCATAAACCTCTCATGAGGTTTCTAATGATTGCAGTCACCGCTCTTGAGGTAAGTAAGAAATTTAATTTAGTTCTTTGCAGAAAAATTAAAGTCATTTTTCAAGGCATCATCATTTTTAAATGTCTGAACCTTTTTAACCTTTGCTAAGTAAGTTGAGAAGAAATTATTTTTAACAAATGCATTCGTACTAATAGGTTATTTATAAATCTAAGCAAGAAGTCCATTTAAATGACCCAAGAATTGAATATAATGTATTAGGTAAGATGATGTTAGAATTTTTGAATAAAATAATATTTGCAAAATACAGTTTTCTTTTATCTTTATGCCTACTTTTCACTTAAGATTGGTAGAGTCGTCAAGCTGTTATAGTCTTTTCATAACACCAAGGGCGGTAAATGTAATTTTTCAAACTTTAAGGGAAGTGACTGCAATTGTTAGAAACCTTAGGGGAGATTTATGAAATTACCCCCTTTTAAAATTGAATGACCTTGTTGCATAGAACAGACCAGGCATGAGCACCTTGCAAAAGCTAGGTCTCCGGTCTCACACAAAAGTTGCAGTCTACGCGTGCAAAGAAACATCATCTATCCCTTTGAAAGCAATATATATACACAGACACACTGACACCCATAGCTCATCAGACGGTGCCATTTCTATACACAATGTTAAGATAACTAATCAGTTCTAGCCTAAAAAGTCTCTTTAAGCAATCCATCAAATCAAATCCTATACTAGATGTTATCACTGCTGCGCTGCATATCACCTGCAGTACAGATGATCATCTTCCTCAAACTCTGAAACTCCAAGCATAGCTAAAGCTAAATGACTCTTGATTTCACTTTTTGTCTGCTGCAATTGAGAGTAACAGTCACCGACAAAATTGTTAGCCGCCGAAGTAGCTTTCTTTCTGTTTAAGCTATTGGACTTTGCTCCTCTTAATATTGCAACAATCTCATCAATGCTGGGCCTGCGGGATTCTTCGCTGTTTACACACGCATTCGCTGCTTGAACCATCTGGGATATCCGATTCGAGTACTTGTGAGTGAACTTGAGTCGTGGATCCAGCAACTTTTCTAGGGGCCCTTGTTGCACTAATGGTTTTGCCTGGAAGAAGGGCGAAAGGGAATCTTCAGTTTTCCATTTCTACTTGAATAAGAAATAGGGGCGAAAAATATCTAAGAAAATAGGAACAACAAAGAGTTGAAACTTATTTGCTTTCTCCCCTCGTCCAAATTCACTGCGTTTGTTGACCTTGCACCTAACATTCCTTGGCATACACGCCCAACAGACATGCTGATCAAATCTTGACAATACCCAATAGTTATTACAGAGGGACCAATTACCTATTTAGCAAGGTTTCACTTAGTTTGAAAGATTAAAATCAAGGCAAACTATTATGATATCATATTATGTTTGTCGCCATGAGCAATCACTGTAGATGTAGATAAGAATATGATTTGGAGTTGTTTTCAAAGAATCTCGTGACCGAAACTGCTAAGATGCAAGAATGCTGTTTATCAGCACAATAAACACATCCATTCGAACCTAGGGAAGAAACGAACAAGACTAGGCATTTGTGATGTAAATCTAACCATTAGCAAGAATACTTGCGATCATATCCCCAGAAAATGATTGATTGACCGAACCAGACATTATGGTGCACCATCAACAATCTACTTAAAAATGTGGTGAAATATGTGCTATCTTCAGTGCATCTATAATTATTAGACAAAGAGAATAGCAGGCTGTGTAGCAGATTAGGTGGTAAATGAATTGATGGCCTACCCATAAAACCAAATTTTCTTCTCCGGGTCCTCTTTTTGCCTCGATAGGTTTCCTGCCGGTGATGAGTTCCAAAAGGACAACCCCAAAGGCATATACATCGGTCTTATCAGAGACCTTGCCGTGCTGAAAATACTCGGGTGCTAAATATCTGTCATTAGTCCGTCCATGAAAAAAGTCAGTCCGAGTCACATATTCCTATTTGTCAACACTTACTTATCAGTTTTTCTGATATAATTCATACCCGAATGTTCCTTTCACAGTCTTGCAGAGGAAGGGCAAGGAGGGTGCAGGAGTCCACGTAGCTAATCCAAAGTCACACAACTGCATACATCACAGTAGAGGATTAGAATAGCACAGCATTATTGAATAGAAATAGTAATAAAACCCATTAGGTCCAACTAAATGGCTAAACAGACAATTTAAAAAAAAAAAAAAAAAAGTTACAGTTGGAAGGTGACCAAAGATCAGCAAAATGAAATTTCTTCCTAGTTCCTACCTTAGGTGTCTTCCTGGAAGTAAGAAGGATGTTTGAGGGCTTGATGTCCCTATGAACAATACATCTTTCTGTCCCATTATGTAAATAACTAATTGCCTCTGCAATACCAACAGCAACCCTGTATCTAGCAGACCATGGAAGTGCCGGACCACCCCTCACTCCCCTTTTCTTTTCTGCAAACAAATTTCTCCAAATCAGACAAGAAACTTCACCATAAATTGAGCCCGCGTTTGAGATAAAAGGACAAGAAATCATACCATGTAAATATCGCTCCAAGCTTCCTCCAGACACATATTTGTAGACCAAAAACAGACCCTCCTCAGGATCAATGCAAAAACCCACAAGAGGAACAATGTAAGGGTTGTGGAGAGAACTAGCAATCATCAATTCCCTGCAAAATGCCTTTGAAGATTCCTTGTCTTCCTTATCCAACCGCTTAATTGCCACAGCAGTCCTCAAAAGTCCAACTCTTCCTCTAAAAACACAGCTCAATGCACCTCTACCCAAAACTCTACCTAAACAAAAAACAAACGCAACAAGATCAGTCAAAATCACAAGCACATCAATCAAAACAAAAACTGACAAAAGGGATTCGATTAAAAGTTCACCACTTTTAAGTACCTGTAGAAAAATTGCAAGTTGCATAAACGATTTCGGCATAGCTGAACCTAATCAAATAATGTGCCACAGGAGAAATGCTCCTTTCAAGGGACTCAATTCTCTTCCACTTTAACTCTCTAGACTTGGAATCAATCACCCCATTATCCAAATTCACCATCAAAACAGTAGCAGAAGAAGACTTGTTCATCACATTCATTGATTCAAGCTCAACTTGAGAACAAAAACTGAACCTGAAAGAGGAGTGCACTGACTGAGGCTCAGCACTATTCAACTCTGCCCCACAGCCACCAGACTCTGCAAGCAACCAAGCCTTATTATGCTCCAAACTGTTCCCACCCTTATCTTTCTCCTCCTCATCCTTGCCGGAACCTCGCCGCCGGTGATGTGGAATAAAGCAACCCAAACCAAAATCCCAGATCATCTTATACAATAAAGATTTGATTTTTATCTCATCATCATCATAGTAATCACAATATTTATCATCATCAGGGGCGGCCAAAGTTGAAGTCTTTGATGAAAATGAGTTGCGCAGAGGGACTATAGAGTTAGTGCAATTACTTCTTGAAAACACCATTTTGAGAGCGGATCTCAAAAAGTGCACAAAAACCCAGAAACCAAAAAGTTAGAAAGAATAAAGGTGGAGAGAGATGAGTGACGGACGTAGAAAAAAGTTGAAGCAACTTTGCTTCAAGGGTAGGAGAGAATTAAAACTCAACAAATGCAAAAACAAATTGTCTTGGGCAACTGGATTTACTAATACTATTTAAGCATTAAAAAAAAGGGGGATTCCTTAATTTATCATGTTAGTAACGGGAGATGGTGAGAGATGGTCCCAATAGGCTCAAAAGTTAATGGCATTATACTAAAGAGCAAGAGATGTATGAATGAATGAATGAATTGTCCAACCGAATAATGCAGCTGCTAGTAGGAGCAAAGAGAGAGAGGAGAGATTCTCGGTGTTAATGCTTAACAAGACAAACAGAACCCACGAAAGAGGGGGAGGTACGTTGCATAGCAAATATTAAAACAGGGGAGGCAGAGGAATGAGCACATGAGTAGATGGGACTAAGCCACCATGGAGAATGGGATTATATCTAAATCCAAGAATTAATGTTAAGGGTGAACAAATTATTACCTACCTTTTCTAGAGAAAGAGATGCGTATCATTGTCATATTCATAGTAGTCATTATTACTAATCTTGACGGGAAGGGGGAAGTTTGGATTGGGTGTCAATGTGGGTTGAGATAATTGACAATAATTACTTGGAATATGGTAACATCAGATTATTTGATTCAATATCAGACCGAAGATGGCACCTGTAGTTTGGTGACCATCCATTTCAGTACTTATGCATCCCTCAAACGACCGCCATTGACATCCAAAGCTGGGCTCTCTTTGTCACTAGTTTGTTTAAGATGCTTGATTTTATTTTCATTAATTTGGCAAAAGGTCGATTGTGGATTTGGCAGGGATTTGATCCTCTGATCAGAGTGAGATTTGTCATTCTCCTTGGAGACAAATTAAATTGGTACAAATCTTTTACATTTTGCCAAGAGCGCGCATTGTAGAAATTCCAAGTTGGACTTTTGTTAATTGTTAATATAGTGCAGAGGAGTTGTTCGGTAGATGATCAAACTTTGTCCTGCCTAGTTAGAAACTCAAACTCAAATTTGGCTGCGCTCTTCATGTAAATTCTTGACATTGGAACTCTTCTATGGTTAATCTTGTAGGCTGTAGCAGTAGCAAAAACTTCCGTGAAGCATTGTGCCTTTTAATTATCCACTGATCTACATTTCCATTATTTTTTTTCCTTGATCTTTTGTGTAATAATAAATATATTGTTTTAGCAAGATCAACACAATGCTTGGAGAAAAGCTAAAGGGCAACAGATCAGGTACACAAATCTTTGTAATTTGGCTTGGATTAAGTTAAAACAAGGATTTAATGCTAGAGCAAATTCAACCTCAAATCACAGGTTTCCACAGCGAATTAATTTGGTGGGTGGGGGCCCCGGGGAGGAGTAACTGCTAGTTTCACAACTGCTTTTGTTTCCTACATCGGCAGATTTTTGTTGCAAAATTTATTGTTTAGGCAATTGAATTTCAAATTTTCAGCTTCAGTCCAAATATAGCTTTAAATTGATGCATGTCATTTTCTTCCCGTCTCACTCGTGGGGACTCTTGAAAGGATTGGCGTCTTGGACTTCAACGTAAAATTTTTCAAGACGGACTACTAATGGAGCAAAGAGTTAAAATTTCTGTTTTTTTTTTCGTACTAACCTTTTATTTTTTTTTTTAAATTGGCGAGTACAACAGCAGTCAAAATTGAACATTAGAAAATCAAAACAAAATGACGTTTTTATCCCAACTTTTTTTTTTTTTCCAATGGTAACATTTCAAATTTTGGTGTACCGCAAACCAAATGTGGAGATTCACGCATTAACAAATTGAAGGGGTCATAAAACGTGCCAAATGAACCCCTCAAGAGTCAAGACGACCAGGTTTTTGGCATGTAGAGAACATTTTATGTCTAGCTTTTGGCTAATGGTTTGGACGTAAATAATCCACGTAACGCCATTTTTGGTATTGTGGTGGCAGAAGAAGGGAGTTTTACAATTATTTCTTGCAGAGAATACAATCACACGTCTTGAATGCATCAAATCCATCGCAATAAGAAACAAGCTTGTGGTCTATTTGTGCTCTCGCTAATGGTTTTCATGCGTACGGTGCATTGCATTCATGTCGATCAATGCATTAAGCATGATTTTCTTTCATGACGTTAAATTTCTATACTAGTTCGAATTTTAACTCGAGTACCACTGCCGGTGATTGAGTTCGAGTTCAAGTACAACGTCATTCAAATTCGATTCGACTCGATAACACCTCTAAACATTCATACCATGTCCAGCTGGGCAATTTGAAGGAGGATGAGGATCAAGAAATTAGTTCAATAGATTCTGGAAAAAGGCGAATTTTGTAGGCCTATTGTTGCTATTTGGGCCATGGAAAGAGCTGGCCAGTTTGTTGGTAAGGTTTTTGGTACGGTAGGTTTACTTGAATTTGTCAGGATAATTCGAGGAAAATCGAATCATTCTGAATCTGGTTTTTCCACGTGTAGACAAACAAAAATGGCTGCTACTCAATATTGGGACCTACAAAGATTATGGATGATTAATTATTTGAGTACGGTACGAAATTATGGTTTTGTTTAGAGACACGTATGATTGAACGAGGGGATAATTTTGGAGTATTAAAGTTTCCACCATTAGTTGGCTTGTCGTGTCATGATTAGGTGACTAATGCGTATTAAAGAAGACCATAAATCACGAATAATTGTTTTTAAGTATGTTCCAGAACCATTGAGCTAATTAACTATTACTGCTAAGGTGTTAGCAGCACTCGAGTAAATAATTATTGCAAAAGGCCATCAAAACAAAAAGAACAATTAAAAATCCTTGAAGGCAAATTAGTGAATTTTAAGAATAGGATGAGAGCTCCATTTAGATTTTAATTTGTAAAGAATCAGCACCATTTGCCTTGTTATTAAAAATGTTACTAACAATAATATTATGATGCTCTTAAAGGGGAAAAAAATTGAAATGAAAGGCAATTAAATATTTGTTGAAATTACTTGCTGCAAACGGAAATGGATCACAGTTTTACTACTAATAAAGATAAGAAAATTATGAAGTTGAAAACAAGGTCAACATTGACAAATGAAGAAAATAAATCCTCATGCAACGTTGACGAGAGGGAGATATGCATCAGTTGCCAACATGCGCCTACCCTTGGTGTTTAGTTTACTGATTCATCAATCATCATGGCTTTGATTTTTTGAAAAAAAAAATGAAATGATGAATTAAAAAGGAAAAGAAAAAAGAAATGTCTGGTTTCCCTTTTTTTTTGGCTGGGGACAATAAAGACGTGTTGATCTTTGTTTCGATTGAGTGCTTGGTCACCTAATGACATAATAGTTGTGCCAATGTCTGAGGTGAGGTGCAAGGCCTCCACGTCACATTTACTTTTTGAAATCTAATTATTATGTTCTCATGCATCTTAATTATACAGTACTGTTTTTATTACTAAATGATAGGGCTGCTTACGCACCCCCCCCCCCCCTCTCTAATTATTAAGATCCTTACAGTCAAACAAAAAATTATTAAGATCCTTTTTGTCCCTTTCATTAGTAGTTGGAAAACAAGAGATGGTACAATGTAAGCTATTCTTTGCAAGCAAAAAACCATTAAAACCTGTTTGGATTGCTAGTTTAGGAATTTCTATAAAATAAAATGTATTGTAACGATTTAATGTATGTAAAATCAAACAATGTGTTGGTGAAAAGATTAAAATTTTTCCTATAAAAAAACAATATTCCAAACAAAACCTTACATTTTGTGAAAGAGGTCGATAACCACATCTCAGAGATAAATTCCAGCTGAACCCCCAAACATCATATATTGAGATAACGCTGAGCTTACATGTAGTAGTAGTTAAACATGAAGGTTTATACAATAACAATCTTATAGTTATGCAATCACATCATAAAGAGAGCATCACACACACAACTACACTTCATATTTCCCGAGAAAAAAAAACAAAGTCACTTTTTTTTCTTTTTTAGGGGTGTCCCGTAGGGAGTGGATCTCGCAGACTATTCCCCACCCTCCACAACAACTTGCTGGCAGCAAGGTTCTAACCAGGGACCAAAGGCTCCATCTTCAGCAATCTCAACCACCAGGTGATAACAATCTTATAGTTATAGATTATTGGGCTGATAACGCATCGAAAACATTTTTAGTTTATCTAGGACCATTCGAAGTATTATGGTGCAAAAAAAAAAAGAAAGAAGAAAGAAAAAATTAACTTACAAGCCTGAAAATGAGATGGGGAATTTGCAGGCGTGGTTGATGGTTAGTGGTGTGAATCGTGCGAATTGTCAAAAAATGTGCATTTCTTTCATTATCCAATTGCAAATTGTCAATATATTCTTTTTGCTCATGGTGCGTGAAGTCATCAAGAATGTGGGCCATGTGACGACCGGTTCCTGAAACATGGGCCATGGCTAATTCAATCTTGGTCCCAAGCTGCTTCATCTTCTCGGAGTCGCCAGTTGATAATACTCCGTCACCTGTTTCTCCAAAGCTACTTCTGAGTTTTGAATTTTGACAAAAACTACATGTAGCCGTTGCGTTCCACATTTTACTGTTTTGGGACGAATCATAACCATAAAAGAGTAGTGTGCCTTGAGTAATAGACTGAAATATTATTTAGAATACTTAGTGTAACATCTTTTATGACATGATATTTCATGTGTGCGATATAAAAAGATAGTTAAGAATTTAAAATATAGTTGAAAAACTTGTTCAATACTGCATGGTAAAAGCAAAATAATGGGCCTGTTTGGAAGCTTGGTTTTTTACCAAGTTTGTATAATACTAGTTTTTTAACAACTTTTGCTACAGGAATCCCAAAAAACTTATCAAAGTTTTTAACCTACACACTTAAAAAATACACAAAAAAACTTTCTCTTCAACTTTTCTTATTTTTCCTCCCTCACCCAACCCACCACATCCTCCGCCGTCGGCCACCACCTCCACCACCGCTTCCGGCGCCGGTCACTATTCCGGCCTTCCTCTTTTTTTTCTCTCTCTCCCTCACCCCCTCTCCTCCTCTCCCCTCCCCCTTTGACCGATCTGTTGGCGTCCTTCTGAAAATTTTTTCCTTTTTTTTCTCCCTCCCCCCTCCCCTCTTCGCCTTTGCCTCCCCCTTTGACCGATCTGGTCGCGCGACCAGATCGCAAAGGGGGAGAGGGGAAGGGGAGGGGCCCGACCAGATCGCGTCACGAAGGGGGAGAGGGAGGGTGGCGGGGAAAGGGGAGGAGAGGGGAAGGGGACGGGTAGCGGGGGAAGGGGAGGGGCGCGACCAGATCACATCGCGAAGGGGGAGAGGGAGGGTGGCGGGGAAGGGGAGATGGAGAAGAGGGATGGCGGGGAAG